ATTCCCAGTTTTTCATTCCCCCCAGAATCATTGTCCCTGAATAGAGAATCTAGAGGCTAAGAGTGAGCATTCACTGCTTACAAGGAAAGCGTCTGCTTTAAAGAAAGGTGGGTGGTGGGTGGGAAAGGAGACAATACTCAGCTATCAGCCTCTGTCCATTTTCAAATAGTTCGTTCTTTTCATTGGTTCTTTTTTCTTAATAAATGTTGTAAGGTTTGGAATTCATGTTTTCTGAGTTTTGGAAAGTTGCACCAACACACACACGGGCCTTTATATAAAAAGGTGTGTCTCAATGTTTCTATGATTAGTATCCACTGCATTCATATGGTGACACAGCAAGCATTAAGGAAGTTGGATAATAGACCCTGTTTCTTTGGAACAGTTTGAGTTCTGTTCTGCCAGTTCTGGTCAGAACCTCCGGTCTATAGAAACCAGCTGGAAACAGAATCCTGCTGGCAAGTCTATTCGTGATAGTAGTGAGTGCTGGATTACCACAGAGAGGGAAGAACGAGCCGTACAAATGACATTTTGAAAAATAAAGTCACCACCTTGAAAGGCACTTTGCAGAGCCACTGCATTTGAACTAATGGCTATGCAGTACATTTAATAAACCTCTGTCAAAGACTTCTTGGCAATGAAACCATGTTTGTACTGCAATTAAATGTCTCCTGTGTTCCAAGATGGGTCAGTGCAGTAGGAAAATAACTCATAATCTGTGTTATCTGTACACATTTTTAAAAGGTTAAGGAGATATGGATGTCATAATCCAATTTGCTCTGAAACAGGGCCCCAATTGTTTTTGCAAGGAGTCATAAATCTGAAATACAAAAATTCAGAATCCCTTGCGGAAAAACCAGAACAGTATTTGAAACCCATCCTTTTGTTAAGAAGCTCTTGGACATTTATTCCTGGCCAAGTCAGTGAAGTGGGAAGATTTCCTTCCTTATCTACCTACATTAAATGAGTCAGCAGCACGATACATAATGGGGACTAAATTGTCTTTAGCTGGTTTTGTTTCCATTTCCATTTATGTGTCACTTCTATTATTGCTGTAACAATTTGATTACTGATTCTTTCTTGATTATCCTGATCTACATTGAAAAATGAAATTCCCAAGATATAAACTAGAGTGGCTGGGGCAACCCAGTCAGATAGGCAGGGTACAAATAAAATAATAACAACAACAACAACAACAACAACAACAACAACAACAACAACAACAACTACTACTACTACTACTACTACTACTACTACTACTGCTACTACAAATTTAGAGAATAATATCTAGTGGTATTTAAATATTGATTGGAATAAAATTTCAATGTGATTTAAGTATGAGGATTTCACTTCCCTGTTTCTTTAAAATGATACATTGTGTGTGTAAAATCACACACACACACACACACACACACACACACACGTTTTTTATGTCCTTTTTACTATTCTCATCTATCTGTGGGCTTTATCAGTTGCTTCAAGTCCAAATCCTGGCAGCTATGATCACTATGATCTAGACTTCTTGGTTAAAACACCCCCCCCCCACAATATGTCAACTTATCAATTACGTGTCCGTGTGTCTTCATTCCACTAAGTGGGGATCGGGTCCTCGAACCACAAGTGTCAATTTCTTCCGAAATAGTTTGGTTATTTGAAATCACTTCTTAACCTGTTGAGTCGCCTCACCAGGCAAATCAAAGTGACATTCATTCTAGCTCATAATTCTTAATGTGAAATGAATAAGATAGCTTCTAGCTAATAATTTTGTACCCACACCCGTATACTTACATAAGCATAGGCTAGAGCAAGACTTTCTTCAGCTTCATACCCCTATGAAGAACAGAAATGTTTTTCAAGGCCTAGGTTTCAATTGAATAATATTAAATGGGTATAGCATCTATAAAAGGAATGTATTTATAACATCACAGTTTTTTTAGACAGTCTACATATAGAAGGCATTAAATATGGATGTTGTGCTTTCCTCCCCTGGCCCATTTCTTTTTCCATTTGTGCTTCAAATAAAATATAACAAATGTTGACTCTTGGTTGACACTGGCCTGCAAATGTCAGTGGGCAGTGGAAAAGGCTGTCCTTTGACCTCACATCAGCCTGTGCTCTGTCCATCTAAAAGTGATTCGTTCTCTGTGCTCTGTTTCATAGCTGGCAATAAAAGCACCCTTAGAAAATATTTCATTTCCATTCTTTTCTTGCAAATGCCATAAAATGCTTTGTGGGGGAAAAGGTGAGTGGATAAGGATGAGTGAAAGTCATGGTGAAAGCTGGGTCAGGACAGCCTGGCTGTGGCCCTAAGATGCTCTGCAGCCTGAGGGAATTGCTTGTAGTCAACGTGGCCCTGCCTTGCATCAAAAGTGTAGGAGGCTATTTCCAAAAAGCAACCCTGCATAAACCCCGTTTTCATGCAGTGTTTGTTTCACACTGCCTCCCATACTTTTGCCTTGAGCATCATTTATTTCGTGCGCTCCTGTGTTAATTTGCATGCGCAGAGCTGTGTCTGCACAACTTGGTTATGGTGCTGTTACTGGGGAGGGGTGAGGAGACTGTCACACTGTGAGTGGGCACAGTGAGGAATTCTTGTCGCTGTAAACAAATTGAAGTGGGGGTTCAGACCAGCATGGTTAGTCAGGCTCAACATCTTTTCATATTTCTTCAGTGCACAGCATAGATCAGATAGGTACAAGGAGCGATGGAGAGAGCCTTGAGGCTCCATTGCACTCCCAAGGACGTAATCAAAATGCATCTGGTTTAATAACAATGGATGGATTTGAGATATCCAGCTGATAGCCTCCAAATCCATTCAGAATTGGAAATGGGCAGAGCTGGCAAAAGGTGGTCTGCTAATCCTTAACTCCACATTGTTGAAAAACTGCACATGAAGAAAGATTATGGCAGCTATAAAGAAATCTCTTACCAAGCAAAGGACAGCAAGTCACAAACTCAAGACCCACTTCCTGCCAAACGATTATTCTCCTGTTTTATTGTATAATATTCCTTTCTGTCATACTTACCCCTACTCTACCTAGAAAAAAAAGTTTCTGGGTAGCATCCAGAAGTTCAGATGCTTTGCAGTCTAATAGCAGGAAGGTTTAAAAACTTTTATTTGATCTTTCTTTCTCTCTCTCCATTTTTTTTTAAAAAAGAAAATGGATGGTGCTGAGCTCAAAACACAGCAGATCCCTCAAGCAGATTCTCTACACGTAAAACCATTTCCTAAATGCTTTTAACACATGACTGCAATGCTGCAGGGGAGAAAGTGTGGTTGAGTGGGTGGGTGGGTGAGAGAGAGAGAGATCTGGAGCACAGCACAACAGTGGAAAAGAATTAAGCTCTCTTGTCACGTATATAAATAAAGGAACAAATGATTGTTCGCCTCCAGACTCAACTTCCTTTATGCACTTACCATATATACAGACTAACAATTTAACTCGAAGTATTTTGATCTGCAATGCTTACAGGAATCAATGTATGTAGCTGTCACACAACCCCCCCTATAGTTTTCATTGTCAAAAGTTGTTATTAACCACCTTTCGATAATGCTGTTCTGCTAAATTGTACTCCATGGCCACTTCCAGACTGTTATCATTCTGCACATGGGATTCAACTGCATACCAGCTGAATTATGTTTCACAATTGAAGTGGATTTGGCACTCTTCTACAACAAATCTACTTCCAAAAAAGAAAAGTTGTTTTTTTTTTTTTTGCAGTAAGGAAAGTGACATGGAAATGCACTGGAACGTGCAGAATAACAATGGCTTGATGCACTGTTGTATGACCTCCTTACAAACAGAGTCCTAAGTGTTGATAGTTTTGTACATTTCTGGTTATACCATTATTTTTTTTTAATGCCTGCTTCCTGAAGTGGGCTCTCTATTTTTTTTTTTTAAGAGGGGGAGCCACTGGAGTTTTGTTGATCTTACTGTTTAATTAAGCCCTTAAACAAACAAACAAAATCAAAACATTCTATTACTGCATCCTTATTGTGGTAACAGGAGACTGCTGAGGAGACCCCCGGGTAGAGGGTGGTATATAAATCAAATTAATAATAATAATAATAATAATAATGGCAAACATTAATAGATATATCTGCATGACATCATAAAAGATAAGATCATGATGTGTTGCAAAATTAGCCCAATTCTGCAGGCAGATACACTAGCCCCAAAAAGGTGTTTACTCCTTTGATATTTATGAGAATAACCTTGCTGTCATCCAATGCTTTTGCTTAACTGAACTGTGGATTGAACTCAATGCCAGTGCATGCCTGTTACACAGTATGTGACTGTTACACAGTTTGTCCCTGCAGATGAGGAACTTGAGTGTAATCACTTTACAAATATGACTATTGCTATGTAAACTCCCTACATTGCTATTTAAAATACTCTTGTAATAAAACACAGCTGGGATAGATGACTTGGTAGAGCAAGAGGCTATTAATCTCAGGGTTGTGGGTTCGAATCCTGGTTTGGGCGAAAAGAATCCTGCATTGCAGGGGGTTGGGTTATTAGATGATCTGCATGGTCCCTTCTAACTCTACAATTCTATGATTCCATGATTCATGTGTCAATGGGTGACACATTGCTTACATTTTCACAAGATCACGTACTGGAGAAATAAACAACTTTAATTTCATAAAACGTGTAATTTTCACCACTGTGCATATGGTGTTAAAAATATCACTGCAAGTACATAAAGACAAAACATAACTACCGTTTTCTATGATCCCTAAACATTTAATTCTATGTTAACTCTAATTGAAATAAAAGACTTTTATGAGCCTCTTCTAGTCTTTTCCTTGTAGTCTTGCTGGGAAAAGCATTGTTGCTCTTCAGGATTATCTGCTTATTTAAATGTAATTACAGAGAAGAACATTTTCCTTTCATTTATTTCAATGAAATCCACAAATTCCAAGGACCCCTTTCCTTTTAAAAGGAAGGCACTATATATGCAAGCAAATAAATCATAGATAAAGAGAGTCTGACATCCCAGTCTACGGCCATACTACCCTGAACACGCCCAATCTCGTCTGATCTCGGAAGCTAAGCAGGGTCAGGCCTGGTTAGTACTTGGATGGGAGACATCCCAAATAGTCAACAACTAAAGTAAATAACATTTTTAAATCGTTTACTATGATAAAACAATGTTTCCTTTAAAGGAAAGGCAACATATTTTCAGGCAAAACTGCTATTTCTAATAAAATTACAACCAATCTAGCAAACAATAGTTCTATTCACACATCATGGTAAGTCATAAACCATGGTTTAATGTCCATGAGTGAACCACAATCACGTCACTGCCCCCTGCACATGCTGGAAGGACAAAAAACATTGTCTCTGGCTTAGCATTATACCTGGACCATGTATGTAGTTTGCTTCACCTGCAACAAACCATGATCTGTAGCCCAGGTTTGTTATTGGCTTACTGATCATAGCTTATTTGAGCAAAACAAACCATGATATTGGGTTTGGATGTAGCACTAAGCCTGGGATCATGGTTTGTTTCCTCCCAGGATGAATGTGGAGGAGCAAACTAACCCATATAGGTGCCTTCATAGTAAACCATTAACTATTATTTACAGTGATGCGTGGACTGGGTCAGTGTATGATATCAATATAATCCTATGCAGGTCTCCTCAGCAGCAGACATCCATAGAGTTTATTCCCATAAATATGCATAGAGTGGTACCTCTGGTTACGAACCTAATTCATTCCGGAGGTCCATTCTTAACCTGAAATTGTTCTTAACCTGAGATACCACTTTAGCTAATAGGGCCTCCTGCTGCTGCCGCCTCGCGATTTCTGTTCTTATCCTGAAGTAAAGTTCTTAACCCGAGGTACTTCCTGGTTAGCGGAGTCTGTAACCTGAAGTGTTTGTAACCCAAAGCTCTTGTAACCCGAGGTACCACTGTACAGGGTTGCAATCCTTTGCCTACTTACCTGGGAGCATGACCGACTGAGCTCAAAAGGACTTGCTTTTGAGTAGGGATCAGGGAGGAGTTTGATTCACTTCATATTTATAGGTGAATCTATCAAATCTGTTCCAGAAAGTAAACACGATGAGAATGGAAACATCCTTTGAAATTCAGAGTTATCTGAATTTTGCGATGCAGTTCTCTAACCAATGTTTACAAAAATGCAAGTATTCGGGATAAATGTGCACAAATATGGAGGTATTAGCGAAAATAACACAACAAATTGCATTCTGTTAGGGAACACTATTTGCCAAAAAACATGTGCTTTAGTCAAAACTAAATTCCCACTAAAATGCTGATGACTGGGAAATTGCCACAGAAATGTGGAGATTGGAAAGTTTGGAAAAATGAGAAACGGAGAGGAACCAAAATTGACAGAACCTTCCATGCCTACTTCTGAACAGACATATGTAGGATTATTCTGTCACTCTTAAAAATGCATTTGAATGTCCTGTGTCTTTCTCCTCCTACAGCATTCTAATTATAGCTACGAATATCACTTATATTCTCCATTTTATCAAATGCAAGAGCCTTTAGCTTCTCATGGCATTTCTCAGATTTTCTAATCTTAATGTTGATCTGCCATCAAAAGCCTTGATGCTGCCATCACAGCATTCTAGTAATCTCTCGGCACGCCCAGGCCACCGTTTGGGAAACCACTTTAGTACAAAACCTTGAAGTTTAAAACCTAAGGCTCAGACCCAGAGAGCTATTGAGGCCATTTCAAAGGCTTCAGCTTGTCAGTGGTGTCAAAATAAAAAAAATAAAAATCCACCCCTTTTTACCACAGATCCCCACATCATAGCTCAAACTCTTTATCAGTTTCAAGAAAGGTCTTTCATGTGGCACATGGGGCTATTGTTTGAGAAACAGAGGCGTAAAGCACTCTTGGATGTCCAGAACTAATTGTACAGTTCCTTGGATTCTGGCCTAATTCTATAAAACAATTTCCTGATTCAATGTAGTATTTTTCATACCAAGGACAGTGGTAGTCTCCATACTCAGTGTTTCCTAACACCATTATACTGCCTCCAGAACAATCTTGTGTCTAAAGAACATGCCATTGGGGGGAGTACATAATTTGCTGAATTTGTTGCAACAAATTGTGGATGTCCTTCGAAAACACAGATGTTTAGCTTCTCTTTCTAAGTCATCTTTTCTCTGAGGGGAAAAGTGTGCATGTTTTGAAAGTTGTGATATTGGAACCAGGGCTTTATTGACAGTAGGCTTAGGTGCCGAAGGTTATTCAGATTCTGCACAGAAGAACGCATCTGGATGCTTGCTATACATTATTCATACATTGCCTCACAGCACCGACACCTTTACAGAAGGCAAACCAAAAAGTTTCTGACCTGAGTAACAGAAGATACTTCTGCTGAGTTTGTCGCAGCATAATAATGGTTTGATTTTCACGAACGTGTTCCAGTTGCCCATTTATTATATTTACTGTCTCCCAAGTGTGCAATTAAATTATGGTTTGTTCAAAAACAAACAAACAATTAGGCACCTACTTCTAAAAGATTCATAGTTCCTTGGATTAGCAAAATAGCTGACTTTTTGAAAAAAAATATTGCAAGGGATTGTGTTGTCCTTGTTAGAGAAACAAGCATAGAAGTGAAGGATTCTTAGATGATTGTCACAAACCAATTAAGCACTGGAAACATGGTAGATATATGAATGTCATTTTAAAGTGAGTAGGGAATTTTGCTAACTCTTTAGACATGGCACTAATGAATTTTCAAAAGCTGAACAGAATGGGCCTTCAGGTCAAAGAAACCATGATGTAAAATGGATGTTAGTGAGCACTATTGAAAACATGAACTTTTTATGGTACTTGGTTTGACTGGAAAGTGTATTGAATTCTTATTTTCCTGATGCAACAGACCTCCACTTGTGAAATCACACTAGAAGTTTTATGCTCTGTTGCTGTGAAACAGGCAGTTTTAGGTAAGCTGCGTTAGGGTATCGGTAGATTTTAATAAAGCAAAAATTGATTAAGCAAGCCATATCTGTCAAATAGAATAGCTCATTTCTAATATACTGTTTTCTTGATTTTTATTCTAGTCAGCAATATGTTATTTATTTAGGCTGCAATCCAATACGGTAAATTGTATGCACCCTTACCTGGGAATAAAGCCATTGACCTTAATAGGACTTACTTCTCAGTATGGGATTGTGCTTATCTATATCTATCTATCTAAAGTCACTATTAGCAAATGCATTCTCTAAGTGTAGATTCTTATGCGGCCAAAACAAAACCATCCATGCACAAGAGAGAAAGACGGTCATATATAAAGGCTGTTACCTGGCCAAAATAGCAGTGTTATAGGCCATTTATGATGGGGGAAATACTGCAACTGTTCCATTGAGTTAAAAAGTCAGATATTTTTTGAGCTCTGAGAAGAAGTAAAAACAGGATTTGAATAGGGAGGGAGATGTTCATGGCACCATGGAAGTCCCCTGGAAAAAGTGAGTGAAGAAAGTGCGTGCCTGATTTTGTTTGTTTTCTTCTTCCTTCACTATCCCTTCTTCCTTTTGTGTTGTGTCTGCCTTTTTAGATTGTAAGGATGAGGAAAGGGATTGTGCTATTTTTACAAATCTGAATACTGACTGTTGTGGGAGCCTTTCCAGCTGAAATATAGGGTATTAATGCTTTAAATAAACATCATAAATTACCCATATGGAAGCAGCTGCAATGTGTGTCACAATGTTTATTCTGCACACTGAAATGGACGTGTGTAAAATTAAGCTACATATGACCATTGTAAATGTGGGACAACTTAACCAAAAGAGAAAAAGCTGCAAAATATAACTCCTTCGTATTTTTTGTTACATTTGTGATGCGGATACCCAGAACTGAATGTTGCACATTTCTAGGTTGCTAAGTCCCTCTTTGCCTGAGTTCAAAGATTCCATCTTGTCCCTTGTATTCATGTCCTTTTATATCCAATATTATTCTGAAGATAATTTAATAGAATTTCTTGTTGGAAATGTGAGCTTGTCACATCATCTATAATACACAGTTTAGGATAAATCATGTAAGGCTTATGAAAAGAGATCTGACAAAATGGAACTACATATTGCATTAAATCATTCTATTAGATTTAGATAGCAGTGATCCAATAGATATCAATATACTTAGTACTCAGGGAGGTAGAAAACCATATGGACTATGAAGAGCTTTAAAAAAAGAAAAGGAAACGAAAGACCTCTCCAAGGTGGTTAAATGGGAAACAAAATGCAACTTTGTTTCAAAGTTGAAATAAATATAGAAATGTCCAGTAGCACCTTAGAGACCAACTATGTTTGTTCTGGGTATAAGCTTTCGTGTGCATGCACACAAAAGCTTATACCCAGAACAAACTTAGTTGGTCTCTAAGGTGCTACTGGACAATTTTTTATTTATTTTGACTGCGTCAGACTAACACGGCTATTTACCTCAATCTTGATTCAAAGTAACACACATTGTGGCAAATTCTTTAAGATCTACCTATAATATCCTAACTTTACAGGCACTGAACTGGCTGTGACCAACCTGGAAATATATCTTTGTATCATGGTGGCTAGCTCAGTTAAAACATTGATACAGAGGCAATGAGGTATAGTCAGGATTGGATTGGATCAGTAAAAATTCCACGAGGGCCAAGAAGATGCGAGTGCAGTTAACAAGCAGAATTCTTAATAATGAAATGATAAACAGCAAGCACTTATTGTTTAAATACTTATTTCAATGTTTATCAAGAAAGACACCACCAGGGCCAAGAGGATGGACAGGGTCAAAGAACCTACAAGAAGCAAGACGGCTTTCTTTAGAAAAAGGAAGTCTTCCCCAAATATGGAGAACAAAAAGGAACACAAACTTTGACAAAAGAAATGCATGCAGGCATTAAGGGATGGTAAAAAAGAATTTGAGGAAAACATTGCTAAAAACAAAAAGATTGACAACAACAAATGCTTTAAATAAGCAGCAGGAGACTGCCAATGGAAGCAGTTGGATCCTGGAGTGACAGGGATGTTGAAATTGTGCTTGAGTACTTCAAGTTTCAGATTGTGAAACCTGCATGAAAAGTCGCACGTGAACCAACTCTGCTTGTACTTAGGATGTCAGGGGACGGCTAGATGGGACTTTTTCTGCCCTGATATGGTGGTTTTTCACTCTAGACATTACTTAACCTGCTTGGGTTAATCCTGCCTTGTCAAGTTTGAAAATAATTACTGGAAATAACAGCATTATAAATATTTCAGTTCACATTTTATGCAACATGAATTAATTTTGTGAAGGTCCATTGCCTTAAAAAAGCTCTGTCCTGACTCAATTTATACCACTTTCTGCTCCAAAATGGTTTGTCTTCATCCCTTTTAATTTTCTTCTCTCCCCTTGAGTTTTAAAAATCACTTTGCAGTGAGTAGCTCAGCTAGAGCCTTAACTTGCTATCCCTGGCCCTCTGTGGCTTGGATGAATGCAATAGCCATGGGGTGCCTGCACAATCATATATATCCCAGCACAATACACTATTATTTAGTTGATGTTGAAATGATGCGGCTTTCATCTTATCTGAATATGTCTCTCTCTAAAGGGGATAACCCCTCATGAATACCTTACAAGCGCCCTATCAGCAGTTCCAGAATGAGATCATGCGCATCGCCCAATTCACACGAGGAGTCCACTCGAGGCATCAAAGTTGCAGCTGCCAAAGTAGATCCTACCTGATTATATGCCTCCACTAGGTTATTTCATTAGCTATGTAATAATAATGTTTATAGCTTTCTGTAAAGACTTTTGCTGCCTGTTCTTAGTTTCTGCATCAAATTAGCAGATGATTGTTATTTTACTGAAGCTCAGTTAATCTAAAGGCTTCTCCAGATTACTTGTTTGTAGACGATTCATCCTGATTTGCTTGCACAAAACTTGCACAAAAGATGGAGAACATGGGAAGGTGAGCACCTGAGAATGAGGCTCCCAATAGCTTGCTCCCAATCACCTAAACCATTATTTGGGATGTTGACTGTCTCAACTGGGCTGTTATCTCTTACACAAAGCTACCTCACAAGGTTGTTGCTTGGTTTAAGCACCTCAAAAATAGTGTGGATTGCAAATATAACTAATAATAATAATGCTTTTCCGATCCAAAACAGAGTGAAAATGTTATGTACTGAAGTTCTCACCCTGGGCCAGCGGGGGAATACTGTAGATAGTTATGCAAATAAGGGATCGAAAGTGACGTTCAGTGATTGGATAGTTTTAGAAAATTGTTACGGTTATGTTGTACTGGAGCTCTATATAAGCAGGCTGACTGAACGCTTCAGTTCAGTTCTGTTTTGGCCTGTGAATAAACAAGAGCTGTTTGAAGAATCGCTGTGTCGTCTGATATGTTCACCCACAACTTAACAGAAAATATATTTAAGACGGCGGGGGGTGGGGTGAAGCATAAGACGATATGGCAAATGCTAAACTGAAGATGCTAGTAGTTTGTGTAGTGAAAATGAATTGCTACTGATCACTTTTTCCCTAGGCTTACTGACCTTCATCTTGCTGAGTGTTTACTGAATAAGCACAGCATAAAAGGTCAGCCCTCAGTTACAGCTGTGTTATTTGCAATTATATTAGCTAAGTGCCATAATTGAAAACAGTATCAGAACCAAGGACCAGTCTTTTCCACAGTGCCATGTGTGTGAGTCTTCATAAGCCTGCTCCCCTGCAGTTCAAGTTAGGAAAAACATAGCACAGAGAGCCCACACAAGTAATAGCACGACCCTAAGCATATTTACTTGGAAGCAAGTCCCACAGAGGTCAGTGTTCTAAAGTGTTTGAGAGAAGGCGGGAAACACCTTTCTATCACACAGCATTTGCAACACACAGTGTGCTTTCTGTATTCACAGCTACCGTTTGTTGAATGATGGCAATAAACACTTGGAGGCTGTAGCTGACTGAACTGTGACAGAAAAGGACCCGGCTGGTCAAGGCCTTGTTTGGATGTGCGAAAGTAGTGAGTCACCGAGTACCACATTCAAATCATTGTATAAAGCACAACTCAAGAGTTCAAGATCTAGAATTTAATCATGAAATATAATGTTGAGGACTTTTCTGGTCTCCAAAATTAGACTGGATGAATGTCTCAAGCAAAATAATTAAGCAAGTTCCCATGTTGCGTGTCGAGGTCCTCCAAGCCACCCCCAAAATAATTCAAACTTCACACATAATTTTTGTTTTTGGCATAATTTTGGCCACAACTTTATTAAAATACATAAATGTGAGTGGTTGCTTAGGCATTGGTTATAGCTATCTGTCCCCATGCCCAGGGACAGAACTGACTTCCGGATTCCAGGAAAAGCCAGTAAGGGAAAACAATATTGGGGAGAGCATGGAGCCGGGCAGCAGACCCTCATTCTCCCCTCCGCATGCTCCTGGGGGCTTACGTGGCCCTAAGCCCCATTCAGGGGTACGGACGAAAGAATGGCAAGCCCCTGGATTCCTTTAACAGAATTCCCTTGCAGCAGCAGCACTGGAGGGGCAGGCACCGCCAATCCTTACCCCTCCACCAACCAATTTTTTAACCAATGCCTAACCGCAACCTTACAAGTTGTGACTATTTGCTATGCAGTAGGCAAAAACCAAATGGCACCAGCCAATTGGACAAAATTCCTACCAGGTCCCTGCCCCCCAAACAGGCGACCCCATGACAGGCATAGCAAGGTCAACCAAGATCCCTAAAATTAGGGAGGGTGGGCGGGTGATCTGATGCACACAGCAAAAGAGCCCAGTCAGAGCTGTGTGACTTCATTTTATAACCTGTGGTCCAACCTCCTAAATGGCAACACCAAAATTTGCCCAACAACCCAACCGCCCAATCACTGTGGATGGTCATCCAAACTAACCCAACCAGCAACAGAGGGGTGGCCTGCCAGACCCCACCGCAACACGTGCTCTCTATGAAGGAGAACACGCTTTGCCATATAGGAACTAATGGTTAAAGATTCTTCTGGATGAAGAGAGTCATTTGGGATAATTCACGGATAAAGTAACTGCAATATTAATTAAAAACCAGTCTAGAAAGCTTGGCCTCTTGCAGCCACAAGGGGAAGGAAAGTGCCCCCTGTCCCAGAGCACCAAATGATTCCTATATCTGTCTATCTCTATCTATCTATCTATCTATCTATCATCTATCTATCTATCTATCTATCTATCATCTATCTATCTATCCGGCCCTTCCTATCATAAGGCGGTTTACAGTATAAAAGCACAAAAATTCACAACACAATAACAAATGAAACAATACATAGATTGTATAAATAACCAAAGGCCTGGTTGAAGAAGAATGTTTTCACCTGGCACCTAAAGATATGTAATGAAGGCACATCTCCCTGGGGATAGCATTCCACAAGTGGGGAGCCACTGCAGAAAATGCCTATTCTTGTGTTGCTACCCTCCAGACCTCATGGAAGAAGAAAGACCTCAGATGATGAGCATAGGCTCCAGGTCAGTTCATATGGGGAAAGCCAGCCCTTGAAGTATATACCCTTCTCTCCTAACCATTATAATGGACATTTCAGTACAAGAGGCAGCCATTTCTTGTGGGGGTTCCATTCCTGCGCCCCGCATGTGTCAGTGGAGCATGTATAAGTGTGCCCTGCCCTGTTCCACTGCACCCCCCATTCCACCCCCATTTTACCTTCTTCTGTGTCCAAAGGGATGTGTGTGTTGGTGATCATGTATCAACTGGATGCACCTAAAATGTCCGATGCCAGTACCTCCAGTTTTTTAAAAAAGATACTCTTCTTGTATCAGAATTATATTATCTATGATTGAATGTGGAAGATGGTGGTCAACATATTATCTATGAATGTGCATAATGGTGGTGAACAACCACTGAGCATTCAGATTTCAGCTCTAGTAGGGGGCGTGTGGTTTGGAAGAACAATCTGAATTACTCAAGAATCAAAAAGAAACTTGACGAATTGTGCATGGAATTGCAGCCTGAGATGATAGGTAAGAAGGCCAGTGACATCCAACATATTAATAGAAATGGAGGCTAACTCTTGCCCAGTTTAGTCAGTTGCCTCATACATTCCTTTTAGAAATGGAAGGGAAAAGGTCATTATGTTTGTAATCTGTTTCCACTGACTGCACTGAGCTCCTAGGTGGAATTTGAGCTTAGACCGTGGAATCCCTCGCTTACCAGTAATGATAATAATTCCTGCCTAATTCACATAGGAGCTGTAAAACAAGACACTTGTAAAAGTACACTGAAATCCTCAGATAGGAGGCACCAAATATATGCAAACGATTTTCTCTATTTACATTTCCCTGGACTGCCAGTATGAATTAATAAGCAATTATTAACAGACACCAGCAATTTCTATGAGAGCTATTCTCCCTGGAAAGCTGTTTGAGC